TAATGGTTCGTGTCGTGCCCGAACAATATGAATCGCGCATTCGCGCTTAATAAAACTAAAATTTAAAAACTAGAAGATTAAATAAAATATATAGTATAGGTGTTATAATAAATCGGCCTATAAATCAATTATTATGAACGGCCCACCGAGTTTTGCTCGGTACCTCGCCGGTACAGTCCGACCCTGGTTGTAACCTTTCAACAAAAAATATAATAAACTATTGTTGATTATACTAGGGTTTAATACATTTTTAATATACAAAATAACTTTTAAGTTTTACCGAAATAAATAATGTGACCAAATAGTATAAGTACATAATGAATAAACTTAAAGAACAAGCGAGAGTGTGCACTGTTTATCAATTGCACAAATCTAAACAATGAATAACATAACATATTTTACAAATTTTTTTTCAAATTCAATTCATATAACAATAATTATTAACAGTTATATAATAAGCGACTGTAGTGATCCGTTACCAAATGAACAATAATTTATAGGCACCAACGAAATATTTCCGCAGTGGCGATAAAAATTGAAATATGATTTTATTTTAATCGATTATTTATAAATATTATGTAGGTATTTAGTAAAAATTGACAATTATTTTGAGACGAGAATACGAGATCGTTGATCTGTGATGCCGGTTAGTGATTTATTTGGAACAAAAATCATCCATCGTCGCGACGATTCTAAAGTGGGAGATTACGAAGCGCATCGAATTATCTCGCAGTACGAATGCAGTTATTATTATTGTGATTACGTTCATTACTGTCAGAACAACATAATTATTATCCTGCAAATGGATTGAACAAAACAATCAGTTATCAGAAATGATCGTCATCCTACATGTAAGTCTAAAATATCACCCTAATATAAAACAGGACTATAATTGCAATTATTTATATTTCTTTAAGACCGTTGCATTATGTTGGTTCACGTTACGATCGTATGCCATCGAAGTCATACCTGCCTCGTATGCTTGGAGCACTTTTACAGGACCCGTTTCCGGGGAAGTACACGAAGTCAAACCGTGGAGTCCGTCTTCGCCAACATCATCGTTCTCAGAATTCGAAAGTGCGAACGAAGAAAGCAATCATTATGGGCCAGATTATGTGGTAATGTATCTACAGCTTATTTTATTATATTCCTATACAATACTGGGACTGAATTTACCTGTAATATTCACTACTTACCTAGTTTAAATGTTAATAACTTTAGAATTAATAACAACTTTGTTTTAACAAGAATTTCAATTTAATAAAATAAATGAATATTCCTTGTTTAATTCATGGCATTGATGAAACTAAAAATTTAACGAGTGATAAAGTTCTCCAGAGACCCTTAAAAACGTATTTGCTTGAATTGCCTTTGGAATTTCATGAATTTGATTTAGTGTTATATCACTTAAAGTAAAATACTGAACAGTAAAAAAATATTATAATAATATGAAATCCCATCAATGGATAAAAATAATATGACAGTATTAGGACATTTGGCCACAATACTATTGTAGTATAGTAATTGTTCGTTTTTTATTTTAATTAGAAACACGTTCAGTTGAAAAATAAATTTTGAATAATACATTATAATATTTTATTAACTGTAGGTACCTATAGCTACCACACATTCAATGTTTAACTAAAAATAAAAACCAGGGATGCTTTTCTGCTGTTAATTAGTTCCAACCGTACATCGTTTTTAAGTGTGAAAATGACAGTTATATGTAATTCGTATGTTTTTGTAGTATATTCGTTTGTATTATATATTAAATCAATGAATTACACGTGAAAACGATTCTAAGTAGGTACTGTTAGTCAGTCATTATTTCTAAGGTTGTTGTATCATAACTTTATATTAATTATAAGTGATTAGTAACTTATTTTTCATTTAGTAAAATTTAGGTGGAGTTAACAAATTTTTTTTCATAAAGACAATCGACATAGCGATAGCTATAACATAATTTCATATAATTTACTGTTATCAAMTTATAGYTATAATTATCATGAAATAAGGACGTACAATGGTAAAACAGTTCGTGGTATTTAATATTGTATAAATAAAAAATAGCCTAAAATTAATCAAAATATTTTTGCAATTACATTGTGTCTGGAAAATAATATTATGTGAAGTTGTAATGGGTAAAATTTTGAGTAGGTACCTAGATAACATAAAATTTTTCAATCATAACAAAAAACCTAAATTTGTTTAAGGAAAGCTTATTATTTTTTCGTTTGAATATTTAATAATACAAATAATTCTATAAATCTATAAAAAAAAATGTTTATTTTATGTTTTTGATACTTTTAGATTATTGTAAGGAAAATTTATGAAAAGCTTTGTGTTGCATTAAAAGCATTTAGCAATTAAACTTGAAATGTGTAAGATTTATTATTTGCAAAATAGTTTAAAAGTGTACAAAACTTCAACGAGTTTTGTAAAATTTGAACTTCGAATAATCGTAATCTTAAGATTAATTGTCAATATTTTTACTTTTAATGTTGTAACTCCCCTTCCCCTGGGGAATTCTACTAGCAGAAACAAGCCTTAAACTTGAAGAATGGATGACCTTTTTTTTTATCCTAAAGGTGTCGTTAAATGCGAAAAATAAAACACAAAGTATTGTAAAACATAATAAATATATTCATCGCTCCGCTCAAAATAAAATAAAAAATAAAAGTTAGATAACTTGTTATATAATTAATCATAATCTACGGTCACATAACATTTGATTACAAACAAACCAAACAGTACCTAACCTAGTTTTATTGTTAAAACTGATTGAGAATCAAAATCCTAAAAACAAATMAAAATTAATTCGACGATTAAAAAGTGAATTATTTTTAAAAAACAACTATGTATTTAATTTGTAAATATCATAAATCTAAAATCATCTTGTAGTATTTGAAATGTTGACATTATAAATTTAAATTAGTTATTTGTAAACATAAAATAATTGTTATAGCACTTAATAACACAAAGTCACATAGGTACCTACCTTATTTTAATGTAATATAATATGATTATAAAAAGTTTTTATTTATAATTTATTTTTCCACAGCACATATAATCTAGGACTTATTGTATGCATTGAAATTTTAAAATGTCCAAAACATATACATATTATAATAACCTACCTTTTGTTTTATGTATCTATTTAGTGGTCAAGATAGTTTTTGAGTAATTATTAACATTGTGTATAGGCACTAGCTACCAAGGATAATAAATCTGTGTTATAGTTTTTGAAGATATGGGGTCGTAGCTATCAACATTTAATAATTTGTAAAATTAGTCAATGTACGTTAAGCAACTAGACTTAGTTAAGAGTTATATTTATTAAAATAACTCATTCAAATATCAATTTGTATACATAAACATCATATTAAAAATTATTAAAACAAATCATCGGCGYTTACTGGCTACTGCTTATAAGTTATAACAATTTACAACATAAAACAACCATATTTTGTTAGAACCATTATCGTTGTAAAAATAAAGACATTTGAATCACCACTGACGCTTCTTAGATATGGTATAAAAAATTGAAGGATTTAAAAATACTTATTAATTCTAAAAATAATTATTTATATACATGTGTCATCGGGGGATGGGGAGGGGGAGTGGGTGTCAGCATACTTGCAGGTAAATCTTGTCTACTGCTACATATTATTATATATTAATTGACACAACTTTTTCACCTGATACCATTTTGGCCCCTAAATCATTACACATATTTTACGGATTTAAACAGGAAAAATTATGCAGCATAGCAATTTATTGGATAACTATATATAAAATATTAAAATCTATAGATAATATTATTTTATGATAAATAAGGGCCAAAGGGCCAAGATGTAAAGATAAAATTAACGAAAACAATTTATTTATAAAACATAGAACGAGTAAAGAGAAAAAAATTTAATAGAACAGAATTGATTAAAATAAAATTGTCTATAAATTTAGGTGGRTTGATTAATTATCATTAATAAATATTTGTATTATTGATATTAACAATCTTAATGACGAATTGTATAGGATAGTTGACTATAGAATCAAATATATTGTTTTTTTTTTTTTACCAATACTGTATTATTATACATATTTTACAAATTTTACATTAACTTTTGCTGACGATTGAGGGGCATTGTTCATGTTGAATTTGCGCTTTTTTGTTGTCTAAATCTGATTATAATATTTTATTTTTATTTTTGGTGCAAATGCAGCATGTCGCAAATAAGCTACTTCCAATGATTTATAAACATATATTACCATGATCATCATTAATCTTGTGTGTTATACCGCAGGCCAAACCACACTACTCGTTCGCGTATGGCGTGGAGAACCCGAACACGGGCGACAGCCACGGTCACTCTGAGACGCGTGACGGTTCGCACGTAACCGGCGAGTATACCGTAATGGAACCGGACGGCGTGCTAAGGCGGGTGCAATACACGGCCGACCCCAAAAACGGTTTCCGAGCGTCCGTCCGGTACGTCCGACCCGACGGCGAAGAGTCGCCCAATCGCGACCATGGTTACCACAGTGAACCAGAACGTTTACCGGAGCCGCCTCCACATCATCAGCAGCAGTCCGAGTACGAGTCTGGTGGCGGCGGTGGCGATGACGATCTGCGTCCGTTCGCGTTACAGCCGCAATCGCTGTCCCTGTCGTCCGAGTACGAGTCGGAGGTTGACGGAGAACCGTTCGCGCCGCAGTTGCCGCGACCGCAACCGCTTTCGTTGAATTTTGGTTACAACAAGTACAACGACTTCAATAACAACAACAACAACAACAATGTCAACGACGATGACGACGACAACAGCGGTGACTACGGCAGTAGCCGCCCGTCTGCGTTCAAGTTCCCGTCGCCATCAAACAGTCCATTCTTCAAGGCGCCCGACGCAGTTAATGGTGCGTCGACGAAAACTTACCCAATATTGRTGGACTGAATTCATTTTTGTTTTCTCTATACTTGTTATCATTATCAAACACGGTTCTAGAGGGTCTTTAAGAGTACCTACGCTCTGCGCCCACGATTGGTGTGTGCAATATGAGAAAAATACCTGAGATGAATTTAAAAAAATACTTAAAAATTTAATTAAAATCTCGCGTACGCCTCCTAGGCATAAAATATAATTGAGTATTCACCACACATATTAACCTTTCATATGTTTCAAATAAACGTTGTYTTAGAACACGTTTTCCGCCAAAGGATATTAGGTATAAATAAAAGCAATCCCAATAACGTAACTCTTAAAAGTAAAAGATACCAAAAATACCCATCAAAATAAAATTACTAAAAAAGAACGATATATAGAATTGTGAGAATTTTATTCCACATATTATATAGATAGTATATGCATCTATTGAATGCACACAATCCGAACTCTGATATTAATAAACTCCCACCGCGGTAGAATACATGTCAACATACTTTTTTTTCTTGTTTTAAGTGCCTAGGCATTCAGAGTTGTGATTGGTGAAAACCGTGTTATAAAAATATGGCTCTGCGTTAACGTTTATCGTATAGAAGTTAACAGCGCGCGGTAGAAAAGCACACATTTCACCAGCAAAATAAGCTCGTCGCAACGATTAAATACACAAACGTATTAGAAAAAACGCACTAAGGTTATCTAACATACAAAAAAAAAAATCAGAATTCACTGAATGCGGCCGAAATTACATCATTTTTATCCGAGTCTACGAACCGTTACGGCTGTTTAGTTTTTTTTTTATACAGAAGATGTTTTTGATGATTATTGTGACTATGCCTATTACTATCGTAGACACGAAATTTTAAACACGCGTTTATGCAATGACGATTAATCCGTTCACCGTGAAATCCCRCCTGTCGATCACGAATCCTAATTTAAAGACGGATCGATCCGACGCTGGTATTCTGCAGCAGACGATATCGATAAACATTGACACTAGGTGTCAAAACACCCACCTCCAGTCACCTCACAAAAAGGAAAATAATAAAAATTTCATAACATCKGAAAAATCCATAAGCTTTGCAAAAMTTTCTTAACGGTCGATATATTTTTTTTGCGTTTTTCTCTTTCAGATTCGGGTGACTATGGAGACAGTGATAAGTACTATCATTGGCCGGGCACGCTGGGCCCGGCGTCTCCACCACCATCGCCGTCGTCGTTTGGTCTATCATCGTCCCCTTCACCGTTCGGTTTGCCACCGTCTGCGCCACCSTCGTTCGACGACGACAGTGGCCCGGCGACCGCATCGTCAGCCACACCGTTTGTCGGCTTCGTCAAGCGTCCATCGCCGACGGCGCCGCTGCCTTGTCGACCTCAGCTGCCGCCCAGCCGTGCGCCGCTGTCGTCGGACATCATGAGCTACCAGACGAGCCACTCAAACAATCTGCCGTTGTTCTTCAAATCGTCGGGCGACCGCGAGCTTGAACATTTCCAGTCGCTGCATGCGGACATCGACGACGATGACGACCACGACGACATCGAAAACTATGAATCGGACGACAGCGACACGGAAAACGCGCGCGTGGCCGACGTCGTCCGTCTGTCGCCGTCCCCCAAATCGGCACCGTCACGTTCGCTATCCTCGCAGACGTCTACGCCACAGCCGCCTTCCCTAACGATCTCGGCCACTGCCAACCCATCTGTGGCTCACACGCCGCAACCGTCGTTTCGCCGGCCATCGTCGCCACTCGAAGCCCTCGACCTGTCCCCGTCACCGACCATGACACCCATTCAGCCGACCATCATCGACATCGACGTCTAACCCGCCACCACAAACGATAACTATGATTCCTATACGCCCACACACTCATCACTATAACAGTACAATTGCAGTTGTAGTACTGCATCACAAAATATACTACACAAATATACTATTTCAAATCATTAACGTCGATAATACCTATAGGAAATTGATTACGGAAACATTCTAATTTAATTTAGGCCCCCCTCCAGCAAAAATAATTTTATCAAAGTCGATCAACCTAACCTAACCTAACCTTACCTATATCCGTCACCAAAAATTTAATTTACAGGAAATACTGGTGAAAAATTGTCTAATTATCGCAATTTACAGTTATTAGGACTCAAGTGATCATATAATATGTAGCATTGTAGCAAACAAGAGCTGCATTTCCTGGTACCCATAGGAATCTATCAATACAATTTGGGGTTTTCGTATTAATATGTGACATTAATATTATGTGTCTCGCAATGTTTTTCAAAGATCGATGTGTACAAAAATACGTGGCGTGGTCTTATTTATTTATAGGTACTTTTTTTCAAATTTAAGAAAAAACAGATATTCGTATATCATAATTATTGGGGGCTAATAATTTGTACTTTATAATATTGAGTCACATGAACAATCGCTAAATGAATCAACACTTCAACAATGAGTTTATGGCCCATGAGTGGATGATTACATTTTAATGAATAATTAAATTAATCAGATTTTTTTTATGATTGATACTCGGCATAAGTAGGTACTATTATGGTATAATATATAGGACCTATTTGAATTTTGAGGAAAAAATCTTCACTAAACAACCTACTAACATAATAAATAAATCACATATGTCTATATATATCTATATATATTTCAATATTTGAATCAAGTCTCGATATATATATGATATATCACATCTTACTATCTTAGAGTCAAAATCGATTAACATTTTTAAACTCAATATTGTAATTATGGTACACAATTCACAACCAACATAATAATATTATATTATATTATATTTATATGTACACACGTGTTTGTCAAAGTCGTAGATTTTATGTTAAAAAATAATTATTATGTTGAGTATTACTTTAAGGTTATGATGGGTGGAGGATACGTTTGCAAGGTTTCGCCCACAGACAGAACGGTCAACTCGCCTATCTGAAACATGTACAAGACAATTATAAKAGATCGTTTTCATTCTACCAAATACCAGTTAACATAGACACATACTATATATAGATATGCATTCGATCAAAATATTATATATTATAAATATATATTTTTATAATGTATCTCGTGATATTATTACATAGAGTTTCCGTACGTAGACAACATATCATATTGATTTAAATTTAAAAAAAAAGTGATACTGAGGTGTATTAATTATTGATCTCTTTTAAAAATACTATAATAATAAAATATAAATATGTAAAAAATGCTTCCGTATAGAATCGCGATTACCTAAGAAACAACATGATTTCAACATTTCCCTAGAAACGATAAATGCTTTCGGTTATTTTCAGTTTTCAGTTTTTTCAACGTTTTCTTAGTACCTACAATTTGCATATATACATATAAGCTACCAGGAAAATAAAAAATTCATATTATAACTATATCATCAATTCAATCAATAATGTAAATAGATACTTGCGTATCTATATAGTTGGTGCTTCTGACCTTATGCGCAGAATTAAAGATCGTCTGTGTAGAAAATAGGTAGTAATTAATAGTAAAATTAATATGTGAAAAAACTATTGACTACCTAAAAATTGTTTGATATATATATTAATTTAAATAATATGTTTTACATTATTTATATTTTTATACGTAAGAATTTGTTTGAAGTTGAAGAATGAATTATTTTTAAGCATTTGAAAATACATTTCATGAATAAGTCTGTAATTATTGTAATTATAATTTTAAATATTATAATATATTCATTTAACGTAAGTAAATTCGTGGATATAATATAATATTATTTTATACATATAATACAGTGACACTTTATCTAACAGACACCTCTAAATATCAATTCCCCCAACAGTGGACTTTTTGGGGGGAATAAACTACAAAATGTATACAAGCTGAACCCTCTGAGTTGTAGTCAAAATTTCAGCAACTAAAAGTATCAAGTACTTTGAGGTTTAATTCAATTTTCAAAGTGATCTATTTTACATTTCACTTACCACAACATCTGTCGGTTGAGTTAATGCTATGATCACCATGGACGCTACTCTTTCAGGCTTCAATGATAAAATAGATGTTTTATTTCCTCCATCACATTCGACTGATTCAGAGCTTACTTTTCCGGGATTAATACTCTATATGAACAAATACGAATTATTTTATTAATCGGTCATCGACGAAGTGATTATTATATTTATTAAAAACAAAACATTTTGATACACTTCCYAATTCCATTGTATTACACCGGAATCAATAATTAATTAAGTACCTATTGATTATTAGTTATTAGTTTATTACTGTTTAAATTATATTATACAGATATTTAAATTCTGTTCTCACAAATATAAATTTTATAAAATGGTTATTGATTATAACTATTCTTAAAACTTACAGTTACTTTGATTTTCGACCCAGCATAAGCAAGTTCGTGTCTAAGTCCTTCAGTCAAATTCGTAAGTGCAGTTTTCGACGAATTATACACTTTCTGTCCTGAGGCTGCTAGCATTGTGTACCCAGCGGTGCTAAATCAAACCAATCACATTACTGTTCCACTTTTTTAGACTAATACACAGTTGCACTGAATAATAATATTAACAGAGAATTTATTAAKAGCMGGTGTGCATTATTAATGCAATTAAATTATTAAATAATATTCTACCTATACAATTAATATAACATTAAATATTGATTATTGATTTAATTTGTGTTATTTATAGTCAAAATTCATAAT